ATTCTCAAAATCTTTTGCCAGCTGCCAGGCAATCATATTTATAAAGCTTTCCTGTTTCATCTTCCCCAACAGGGATCCAAGTTGAAAATTTTGTACTAATGTTGTGACCTATAAATCCTGGTAAACTGGTGTAATAAATGGTTTGCTTTGCTGGCATTGCAGAGATGGTGTCTCTCAATCCCTGCACATCAACCCTCCAGTCTCAGTCCCAATCCTGTGTTTACCCTTCCGATGTCCCCCTGGTGCTCCCCAGGATCTCATTTCTGCTCCCAGAACTTTGTAACCCTTTTGTGACCCTGGGCTGCTCAGGAACCTCACTCAAATTCCTACAGCCACTCCCTCAACCCACCCCGACTGTCCGCCTTGGCCCCCACCCAGCCCCCAGGCCCGCTTCCAGTCCTGTTACCCATTTCATGTCACCCCAGGACCCAAACTCAAATCCAGGGATCAACCCCTGACCCCACAACGTCCCCCTGAAGCCCTCCATACCCCAACCCCACAACCCAGGTCCCATGTCCCCCCACAAGTGACACCAGGAGTCCCCCCAGCCCCTGATACCGAAATCGGCCAGAGTGAAGGCCCAGACAGAACTGGAGGCATCAGAAAACTGGATTTCTTTATCAGCTTGAACTCACAGCAGATCTCTCCTGGTCCTGCAGGCCAGGGAGGATTTCCCCACGCAGAATCTATCCACCATTATTATACATATCCATTAGAATGGGCTTCTTAGCTAATACCAAACCAGCACTTTTCCTGTAAATAATCAGCATGGCTCTACCTCTTTTAGGAAATAATTTTATTGTCCTGGAGAGTCATAAAAATGCGGTTTGTGGGGCTCATTTTCACTGAATGCCCCAATATCCCAGATGACTTTGCAATGAACTTTCGCTTTGGGGAGGCGCAGCTCCTTCTGTGCCGCAGAGCTTGCTAGAAACCCCTCACTGGTGTTCCATTGATCTCTGTCTCCACATGTTCCAGCCACCTTTGCCCTGCTGTGCCCACACTTCTACATCCTTGTGTGGGTTTTTGCCCGTTCATCTTTGCGCCCCATCCAGCACCATTAAGGGATCTGAAAATTTCTGTTCTCTCTCTTATTACTCACCCACTCACCCGCACAATCCCACTCCCACGCTCCCATGGCCCCCCAGTTCCCCCCAGCCCCACTCCCCACTGCTCACTGAGTTGCTGCCACCCCTCAGATCCCAAATGGGGTCCCCTATCCGATGACATCCCTGCAGGCACCTCGAGCCTGGGGATGATCTCTTGGGGCAGTGCCTGGGTCACTTCCCTGGCCTTGTTGGCGCGGCAGGAGAAGCTCTGGACCCCAAAAAAGGATCCACCAACACCAGGAGATACCTGAGCCCATGCTGGCGTGGTAGCTCAGAAAATCCCTTTGCCAGTAATCCCCGGGAGTGTTTCCTCTTCCAGCAATGCCTGGAGGTGATGGGTTTGAATTCCAAGGGCTCTGTTTGAAACATGTCGGGCTTTGCTCTGCAACAGACCTGACAATTTTGTCCTGTGGACACTGAGGATCTGAGGCCACAGACCAGTCCCCATCGCATCGATTCCCAGAGCTTTGCTGGTGCATTTCTCCTTTTCAAATTTCAACATCAGCCTGGGAGGGCCTGACTTCCAAAGATCTCCTGAAGTCTCCCCCACATTCTGAGCCAGGACTCTCAGGACCCAGTGCTGTTCTTGGCACACAGAAAGCTCAAAGGGCTTTGTTAAAGTCAGGAAATCCCATTGGAAATGTGGAAACCAGGGCTATTTTTGAGTTACAGAATGTGTGTCCTTCCTCAGGAGTCAAATCAAAGTTCATTCTGGGGTCTCCTTTGTCAGGGAGACTTCAGGAGACTTGTGGGATGCTTTTCCAAACAACTCAATCAGCCAGGATTTGCAGAGATGCCTGTGGGACTGTTCTCCTCACCCAAGAGGCCAAGAAATCCAGTTTGGGACAGAGATTTATGGTATATACTCTTCTCTCCGCAACTGCAAGAAGATGTGGAACAAAGGGAGGGGCTCGCAATGAAACAAAGAGCTCTGGAATTGGCAACAAGAAAAAGATCAAACCTAGGAACTCACTTGACATCTGCTCAGACCATTGCTCATGCCCATGGAGCCATATGGGAATGAAGAAGTCAATTAACAGCTCAGGGATCTCCAATTAAATATAAGCAAGGATTACTGTCCCTCCTCGATGCCACCCTACTACAATCCAGGGTACACCAGCTTGAGGATTGACAATTCCATGTGGGAAATAGACTTGCAACAAAGCTGCACAAGAGGTTTCCAGCAAAACATCCTGGTGTTAATTCCTGGGAAAGGAATTTCATCCCCAGAGGTGAGGCCTGGAGAGAGTTGGGCAGATTGAAAATTGGCTGCTTATCTAAAAGTCTGCAATAAAGAGGGTGGGTGAGAGGTAACTCCCAATACCCAGATCAGGCCCTCCCCAGCTGATGCAATTTGGAAAGGAGAAATGCACCAGCAAAGTTCTGGGAAATCGATGGGATAAGGACTGGTCTGTGGCCTCAGATCCTCAGTGTCCACAGGATTGTCAAAATTGTCAGGTCTGTTGCAGAGCAAAGCCCGATATGTTTCAAACAGAGCCCTTGGAATTCAAACCCATCACCTCCAGGCATTGCTGGAAGAGGAAACACTCCCGGGGATTACTGGCAAAGGGATTTTCTGAGCTACCATGCCAGCATGGGCTCAGATATCTCCTGGTGTTGGTGGATCCTTTTTTGGGGTCCAGAGCTTCTCCTGACGTGCCAACGAGGCCAGGGAAGTGACCCAGGCACTGCCCCAAGAGATCATCCCCAGGCTCGAGGTGCCTGCAGGGATGTCATCGGATAGGGGACCCCATTTGGGATCTGAGGGGTGGCAGCAACTCAGTGAGCAGTGGGGAGTGGGGCTGGGGGGAGCTGGGGGGCCATGGGAGCGTGGGAGGGGGATTGTGCGGGTGAGTGGGTGAGTAATAAGAGAGAGAACAGAAAGTTTCAGATCCCTTAATGGTGCTGGATGGGGCGCAAAGATGAACGGGCAAAAACCCTTACAAGGATGTAGAAGTGTGGGCACAGCAGGGCAAAGGTGGCTGGAACATGTGGAGACAGAGATCAATGGAACACCAGTGAGGGGTTTCTAGCAAGCTCTGCGGCACAGAAGGAGCTGCACTGTGCAGCCACAGGGCCTACAAGACCTCCCTGGTGGTCAGTTCCCTAAGGTAAGAAATGCCTGGTGCTGATGACTGGACCAAGAGACCCCTCTCCTGCCTCAGACCCTCGTTATCTCTCTGTAAGACCGTAGGTCATATTTACCTTGACCCTTACTATTGGACTGTTCCCAAATCCCTGCACCCTATAAAAACCCCCATTTCTGCCCGTTTCGGCAGGAGTGCCGTCCCTGCCACCCTTGGCAGAAGCGCCAGTAAAGACACAACTGTGGAACCTCACGCAGCCTTCTCCCTCCTCATCCCTGCGTCTGTAGGGGCACTTAGCAAGCAAAGAGCTGAAATCACTGAGGAGCTCAATTCACCCAAGAGCTGATCTCTCTTAAGAGCTGAGCTGCTTGCTAAGGTCGCCTGCAGCTGGGAGCCTACCTGGGACACCTGGACAGGTTGTGCTTAGCGGGACATCGGTTCCCAGGACACCTACGGCAGCACAGACCCCGAGAACCCAGACTGTAACACTCCACCTGCCCAAAGAGAACGTTTGAGGCAAGGTCGTCTGAGATACTGGAGCACCCAGTGAAAACCACACCCATTTTTATGACTCTCAGGGACAATAAAAATTATTTTCTAAAGGAGGCAGAGCCATGCAGATTATTTATGGGAAAAGTGCTGTTACTGTATCAGATAAGTGACACATCTTAATGAATATTTATAATTATGATGGATAAATACCCCATGGCAAAAACCCCCTTGACCTGCAGGACCAGGAGAGATCTGCTGTGAATCCAAGCTGATAAGGAATTCCAGCTTTCTGATACCTCCAGTTCCATCAGAGAGCTCACTCCAGCTGGTTTCGGTATTGGGTGATGGGGGACCCTTGCAGGCAGGAACATGGGCCTGTGGGATTGGGGTCTGGGGGGGCACTGGGCATGGGACAGGGATCGTGGTCCTGGGGTGGTCCGGGCAGCAATGGGGGACACAGGACCATGGTGGTGGCCGTGGGGTACTGGGATGCACTGGGGGACACTTGGGTGCACAGGGGACTGGACTGGGGTCCTGAGGATCCACTGGGGTGGTCATGGGACTGGGAGTGGGATTGGGATATGGGAAGAGGACAAGAGAGACACTGGGGGACCCCAGGCCTTGGGTCAGGGTCCTGAGGGCCATGGGGTCACCGGGAGTAGTTCAAGGGATTGGGGTAACAGAGGCACTGGGACACACCGGGAGGGGGGGACAGAACGGTGGGAGTGGGATTGGGGTGCAGGGGGCACTGGGGTTGCTTGGGGAGGGTCAGGGACTGACGGCAGGATTTGAGTCAGGGTCCTGCAGGGGGGCTGACAAGATGGATATAGGATATAGGATATAGAATATGGGATATAGGATATAGGATATAGGATATAGGATATAGGATATAGGATATAGGATATAGGACTGTGGGAATGGGATTGGGAGTCTGGGGGACACTGGGGAGAGCTCCAGGAGTGTTCCCAGGATTTGGGATCAGAGTCCTAGGACAGGTCCAGGTGTCGCTAGGTTGGGGCTGCCCCTCAGTCTCCCCAGGCTGCCCCCAATCTTCCTCCATAGCCCCTCCCCAAGAAACCCTCCCGTGTCCCACCATGTTCCTCAGCGTCCCCTGTGTCCCACCATGTCCCTCAGCATCCCTTGTGTCCCATCAATGTCTACTCAGCATCCCGTGTCCCATCAGTGTCCCCTCAGCATCCCCTGGGGTCCCCCAGTGTCCGCCCTGTGTCACGCCGTGTGTCCTCTGTGTCCCCTCTGTGTCCCCTCTGTGTCCCCCAGTGTCCCACGCTGCTCCCCGTGGCCTCTCTTCTCCATGGCCCCCCTGGCTCAGACCCTGGCTCTGCTGGCAATGGTTCTGCCATCCACGGCCATCAAGGAATTTCCCCTGGACATGGCCCCGAACTCCTTTGATGACCAGTACCTGAACTGCGGCCCCGCCATGGCTGGGGAGCTGTCGGCCCTCAACAGCTCCGAGTTCCAGCAGAACAAGAACTTTGCCCAGGTCTGGGTGAAGGCCACGGCCGAGTGGCAGAAGCGGCACTCCGATTCATCCCCGCTGTCCCCGGCTGAGGCCATCGCCCTCATGGCCTACACCATGAGGGACGTGTACGAGGAGTTCAACACTGCCGTGCGCGAGGCTGGAAAATCCAGCCAGGAATACCGGGACAACTTCCACTTCAAAACGCTGCATTTCCTGCTGACCCAGGCCCTGCAGAAGCTGAGACACCCTGGTAAGTGTGAGGATGTGTTCCGGGGGGTGAAAGACACCCAGTTCACTGTGAAAGCCGGCGAGAAAGTCCGCTTCGGTCAATTCGCTTCATCGTCGCTGGACAAAAACGTGGCCGAGGGTTATGGGACAGACACGATGTTCGAGGTGCACACGTGCCATGGCGTGGACATCCAGAAGTTCTCCTTCTCACAAAGTCACAAAGAGGTGCTGATCCCACCCTTCGAGACCTTTCAGGTCACTGATGTCCAGAACCAAAGGAGCACATTGAAAATTGTGCTTCGATCCACCGGGAACTCCAGCAACTACAACTGCGAGTGGCTGCGAGGTGACAGCATGGGAACAACCTGGGGGATGGGGACACTCAGTGAGGGCTGGGGACGAGGACACACGGTGAAGAGGACACCGGTGGCCAAGAGGGGACGGGGAGACCCACTGTGGGTGGGAGGCAGGACAGCCAGAGCTGGGGACAAGGTCAGGGACAGCCAGTGCTGGGCACGGGGGATGGGGACACCCAGTGCCAGGTGAGGGGGACAGGGACACCCGGAGCTGGGGCTGGGGGGACAAGGACACCTATGGCTGGGCACAGGGGAAAGGGACCTTGTTATGGGCCCCTCTGACCTCCCACACCCTCAGGGCCCTCCTGTCACCCCTGTCCCTCCCCCTGTCACCCTCTGACCCCCTCAGCCCATGGTCTCCCTGACCCCTCTCTTTGTCCCCACAGGTGGGAGCCTCCCCGGGAACTCCCCCCACCTCGGGGGACTCCTTCTGGCCACCGTGGCCATGGCGGTGGCCATTGGAACCCTCTAAGCCATGAAGCCATGGAGGTCACTATGTTCTTGGAGGACACATGGACACCATTGTCCTGAAGGCTACCAGGATCCCCAGAGAAATGCGGCCACCAAGGCCACCAAGGCCACTGTGGGCTCCCTGGTGACTTTGGCCACTGTGACCACTGTGGCTGTTATTGCAACTATGGCCACTGTGACCACTGTGACCACTGTGACCACTGTGGCCATTATTGCTACTATGACCACTGTGACCACTGTGACCACTGTGACCACTGTGACCACTGTGGCCATTATTGCCACTATGGCCACTGTGACCACTGTGACCACTGTGGCCATTATTGCCACTGTGACCACTGTGAGCACTGTGACCACTGTGGCCATTATTGCCACTGTGACCACTGTGACCACTGTGGCCACTGTGGCCGTTATTGCCACTATGGTCACTGTGGCCACTGTGACCACTGTGTCCACTGTGGCCATTATTGCCACTATGGTCACTTTGGACTCTTTGGCCCCTATGACCACTCCGGGCATTGGAACCACCCTGGTCAGCATGGCCGTTGTGCCCACAGTGACCCATGATGTCACCGTGCCCACTGTGGCTACTGTGGTCACTGTAACTACTGAGGCCACCGTGGCCACCGTGGTTCCCAAGGTGACCAAGGCCACCGTGGCCACCACAGCCGCTGAGGCCACCACGGTCAGTGTAACAAGGCGTCCATGCAGGGGAAGCCCCTCCGAGAGCTGCCCAGCGAGGCAGCGGCGCCAGGGCAGCAGGAGCAGCACGGGGGGCACGGAGCAGCCAGGAGAGCGCAGGACAGCCCGGACGGCCGAGACTGGGCAGCGCTGCGGCCGCTTGGCCACTTCCCGACAGGGCTCTGGGAGTGGCCATGTGGCGGCCACCTCCTAACGCTCCTTGCCTGCCTCGCCTGATGTATCAATCCATGGCCGCTTGCTCGCCTCCCGTATAGAAAATGCATCAAAAACTTGATCCGTGCTTGCCCGGTGCATCAAAACTTTACCAAAATGCGCTGCTGGCTCGCCTGACGTATCCACTGCAGCTCTTTTAAAGCATTTCCTGCAGGGCGCCTCTTTTCCTAAAATAAAGCATTTCCTGGAATTTTCGTTAGAGGTGACTTAAAGGTTTATTTTTCAAACCACGATCTCCAAAGAGGTGATGGAGAAATGCTCCTCCCTTTTTCCTCGTTCACTGCAGCCCCTCACAAAGGACCTGGAGGGGCTGGAGGGTGTCCGGGGAAGGGATGGAGCTTGGGATGGGTCTGGAGTTCCAGGGCTGGCTGAGGGAGCAGGCGAGGGCTGCTCAGTGCAATTAAAAAAGGAAGAAAGATCAGTTTGGGGCCAGTTCCAAAGTAGCTGATTTGAGGTAACACAACAGAAGGAGCATTGGAAGGAAAAAAAAGAAAACCAGAAAGAAGAGGGATGAATAATAAAAAGGAGAAAAGAGGACGGAGGCAGCAGCACCCATTTATTTATGAAAAGCCCCGGGTGTTTCGCACAGGAAACTGTTTTTCTCTCAGATTAGGGATTTTCCTGCTTTTCCTGATTGTATCCGGGAGCTGCGGTTCGGGAATTGTCAACTGGAGCTCAGCAGCGAGCAGAACCATTGAGGAGAAATGGTTGTCAATGTCTTCAAAATGGGTCTTGGTATCTCCTCATGAGAAGACATGAGGTTTGTCACAGAACCCTGGTGGTTTGGCCAGAACAGTTGAAGTCCGGAACATAAGGGTAATAAGAGAAATGGGTCCCCACAAAGTCTATCCCATAACCCCGACAGGCCGAGCTTGGGAGCTTTGGGGGAAATGCCAGCTCCACGGGGATGTGAGGGTTGGGAAGGCTGCACTGTCGCTGTACCTCATCCAAAGGGGAAAGGAAGAGGGCAACGTGCGGCCAGGAGCTTGGGATAAAAGGAGGCTGCACCCTCGGAAACCTCCAGAGAGAAAACCCACAGGGTATGGCCACGGCTGAGTGGCAGAGCCGGGGGTCCCCTGTGTTCCCTTTGTCTTCCCCAGCCCAGGCCATCACCCTCATGGCCACACCATGAATGATCTGTACATGGAGTTCAACGCAGCCGTGCGCAAGGCTGGAAATCCAGCCAGGAATACCGGGACAACTTCCACTTCAAAACGCTGCATTTCCTGCTGACCCAGGCCCTGCAGAAGCTGAGGAACACTCAGAGACCACCATGTTACCACGTGTACCGGGGCGTGTGCGGGCTCCGGTTTGAGGCAGAGCAAGATGACACTGTGAGGTTTGGTCAATTCACGTCGGCGTCACTGAGCACAAAAAGTGCCCAGACATTCGGGGTACACACGATGTTCCACGTGCAGACCTGCCACGGCACGGAAATCCATAATTTCTCCAAGTATCCTGACGAGAAGGAGGTGCTGATCCCACCCTTCGAGACCTTCAAGGTCATTGAAGTCAGCCAGGAAGGGGACAAGGTGTTGATCCAGCTCCGCTCCAGCGGGACCTTCAGCAGATACAACTGCGAGTGGCTGCGAGGTGACAGCATGGGGACAGCCTGGGGGAGAGGGACACCCACTGTGGGCATGGGGACACCCACAACAAGGCAGAGGGGACAGTGACACTCACCGGGGGTGGGGGACTGGGACACCCACTGTGTTTGTGGGGATAGGAACACCCAGTGCTGGGGACAAGGACAGGGATACCCCGTGCTGGGGACACTCACTGCGGGTGGGGGAACAGTGACACCCAGTGCTGGGGACAGTCACAGTGGACAGGGAACTCCCCTGACAGGGCACAGGGCCGTGGGGACACTGGCTGAGAGTTTGGGGACAACCCATGCTGGGGACACCAAGCCCGGGGACACCCATTGTGGGCATGGGGACAGGAACGCCCACGGCAGGCACAGGGATGGGGACCCCCACTTTTGAGAGGGAAGAGGGACAGGGACACCCCAGGGGACAACAGGGACAGGGACAGGGACATCCCCATACCCACCCTGTCCCTGCCCACCAAAGGCAGTGCTGTGGGCACAGGCTCTGTGTGATGGACGTGGGTGGGCTGGGACCCTCCGTGGCACTCCCTGAACCCCGGACACCCCATGACACCCCCCAACACCCCCCATGGCAGCCCCTGACTCCCCCTGACCCCTGTCACCCCTATGGCCACCATGACCCCTTGGCCTGCCTGGTGCCCACGCCCCCCAGACACCCTGTCACCTCTCACCTCATGGACCCCATCTCGCCTGTCACCCCAACACCCCATTATGGCCACCCCCGACCCCCTCATTCTCCCATGGTCCCCCTGACCTCCCTCTTTGTACCCCAGGTGGGAGCATCCCCATGGCCCCCCTCCACCTTGGAGGACTCCTCCTGGCCACCACAGCTCTGGCAGTGGCAACTGGGATCCTCTGAGCTACGAGGCCACCATGGTCACTGAGGTCACTGTCGTCACTGTGGCCACCATGATCACCAAAACCACCAGGACCAGCAGAGAAACGAGGCCACTAAGGCTATCAAGGCCACCACAGCCACTCTGGCCACCATGGTCACAATAACCACCAAAGCCACTGTGACCACCATGATCACCAACACTCCCTGAGCCACAAGGCTACCACAGCCACTGTGGCCATTGTGATCACTGTGGCCACCAAGGCCATTGTGCGAAGCAATTTTATTAAATAATTCAATCAAAACAATTCCATTAAAAAATTCAATCAAATCAATTCTGTTAAATAATTCTGACAAAGCCACAATACTGTGACAATTCCTAAGCCTCTTTCTTCAACCTTGAGGAGGATCCTTCAGGAGCATCCCCTTCCCAAGGAAGGAACCTCACACACATTTCATGCCAAGCAGGAATAGGGGAAAGGAATTCTTGTCTGAGGGTCAGAGCATCCTGCCACAACCTGCAGTTCAGGGGACCTTGAAGGCTGGAAATTGGGAGGTTCAAGAGGGCAAGGGCAAGTCCTGTCCCTGGGGAGGGACATCCCCAGGGCTGGGGGGGGACCTGCTGGAGCAGCTCTGGAGAAGGACCTGGGGGTGCTGGTGGGTCACCAGTGGAGCTGGGGCCAGGAGGGATCCAGGGGGCATTGGGAAGAGCAGGGCCAGGAGGTCAGGGAGAGATTGTGCCCCTCTGCGCTGCCCAGGGAGGCGGATTGGGAATGCTGTGCCCAGCTCTGCCCAGTGCCATGTCCAGCTCTGCCCAATGCCATTTCCAGCTCTGCCCAGTGCCATGTCCAGCTCTGCCCAGTGCCATGTCCAGCTCTGCCCAGTGCCATGTCCAGCTCTGCCCAGTGCAGTGTCCAGCTCTGCCCAGTGCCGTGTCCAGCTCTGCCCAATGCTGTGTCCTGTTCCGCTCAGTGAATAAAACTTCTCTTAAAACGCTCACAGTAGTCATCCCTTAATTGTGAGCGCAAATCCTCACATCGCACACCCGTAACAAAGCTGCGGGTGCCGCACGCTGGGAAGGGCTCAAGGCCAGGCCGGGCGGGGCCTGGAGCAGCCCGGGCCAGGGCAGATGTCCCTGCCCAGGACAGGGCTGGCACCGGACGGGCTTTAAGGCCGCTCCATCCCAAACCCCGGCAGAGCCCCCGGGGCCGGGCGGGGCGGGGCGGGCGCTCGGCAGCGCCGGCAGCTCGTGCTGCCGCCTGCTGGCGGCACCCGGAACTGCAGCCGGAGCGCGGCTTGCCCGCGCTCGCTGCTGCCCTCCGGTGGACAATGCCCGAAGCGCAGCTCCCGGAGACGAGCGGGCAAAGCGGGTCACAGCGGCAATAATGGCCACAGTGGTCACAGCGGTCACAGCGGTCACAGAGGTCACAGAGGTCAGAGTGGTCACAGTGGTCACAGTGGCCACAGTGGTCACAGAGGTCAGAGTGGTCACAGTGGTCACAGTGGCCACAGTGACCACAGGGATCACAGTGGCCACAGCGGTCACAGTGGTCACAGTGGCCACAGTGGTAATAATGACCACAGTGGTCACAGTGGTAATAATGACCACAGTGGTCACAGTGGCCATAGTGGCCATAGCGGCAATAATGGCCACAGCGGTCACAGCGGTCACAGTGGTCACAGTGGTCACAGTGGCCAAAGTGGCAATAATGGCCACAGCGGTCACAGCGGTCACAGTGGTCACAGTGGTCACAGTGGCCATAGTGGCAATAATGGCCACAGTGGTCACAGCGGTCACAGTGGTCACAGTGGCCACAGTGGTAATAATGACCACAGCGGTCACAGTGGCCATAGTGGCCATAGCGGCAATAATGGCCACAGCGGTCACAGCGGTCACAGTGGTCACAGTGGCCACAGTGGCAATAATGGCCACAGTGGTCACAGTGGCCATAGTGGTCATAGCGGCAATAACAGCCACAGTGGTCACAGTGGTCACAGTGGTCACAGTGGCCATAGCGGCAATAATGGCCACAGTGGCCATAGTGGCCATAGCGGCAATAACAGCCACAGTGGTCACAGTGGTCACAGTGGTCACAGTGGTCACAGTGGCAATAATGGCCACAGTGGTCACAGTGGTCACAGTGGTCACAGTGGCCATAGTGGCAAAAATGGCCACAGTGGTCATAGCGGCAATAACAGCCACAGTGGTCACAGTGGCCATAGTGGCCATAGCGGCAATAATGGCCACTGTGGTCACGGTGGTCCCAGTGGCAATAATGGCCACAGTGGTCACAGTGGTCACAGTGGCCATAGTGGCAATAATGGCCACAGTGGTCACAGTGGTCACAGTGGCCAATGTGACCACAGAGCCCACAGTGGCCTTGGTAGCCATTTCTCCGGGGATCCTGGTAGCCTTCAGGACCATGGTGTCCATGTGTCCTCCAAGAACATAGTGACCTCCATGGCTTCATGGCTTAGAGGGTTCCAATGGCCACCGCCATGGCCACGGTTGCCAGAAGGAGTCCCCCGAGGTGGGGGGAGTTCCCGGGGAGGCTCCCACCTGTGGGGACAAAGAGAGGGGTCAGGGAGACCATGGGCTGAGGGGGTCAGAGGGTGACAGGGGGAGGGACAGGGGTGACAGGAGGGCCCTGAGGGTGTGGGAGGTCAGAGGGGCCCATAACAAGGTCCCTTTCCCCTGTGCCCAGCCATAGGTGTCCTTGTCCCCCCAGCCCCAGCTCCGGGTGTCCCTGTCCCCCTCACCTGGCACTGGGTGTCCCCATCCCCCGTGCCCAGCACTGGCTGTCCCTGACCTTGTCCCCAGCTCTGGCTGTCCTGCCTCCCACCCACAGTGGGTCTCCCCGTCCCCTCTTGGCCACCGGTGTCCTCTGCACCGTGTGTCCTCGTCCCCAGCCCTCACTGAGTGTCCCCATCCCCCCAGGTTGTTCCCATGCTGTCACCTCGCAGCCACTCGCAGTTGTAGTTGCTGGAGTTCCCAGTGGAGCCAATCACAATTTTCCATGTGCTCCTTTCCTTCTTGACAGCAGTTTGGGTTTTTTTATTTGTACCATTGCATTTGTATTTTTAGTTTTCCTAGTAAAGAACTGTTATTCCTATTCCCATATCTTTGCCTGAGAACCTTTTGATTTCAAAATTATAACAATTCAGAGGGAGGGGGTTTACATTTTTTCCATTTCATAGGAGGATCTTGCCTTTCTTTGCAGACAACTGTCTTGTCAAACCAAGACACACCAGGACAGAATGTCACCCCCAGACCCGGATCCTTCATCCTACCCTTCACCTTAGAATGTCGAGTCCTTTTCTGGGTTGTTGGGGTACAAAATTCGACTCTTCAGGGGTTTGTCCCACCCTCAGAACCCTCTTCCTCCACCTTCTCCTGCTCCTTTTCCTCTTCCTCTCCCTCTTCCTCCTGCCTGCAGGAAGTCCTGAAATTCCAGGATAATTTGGGATGTCAAAGGACCTTCAAGACCACTCAGTTCCACCCCTGCCCTGAGGGTTCCCCTGTGCTTCCTCCTCATCCTCCTCCTCCAGAGGGTTAAAGTAAAAGGAAAACTCATGGACTGAGGTAAACCCAGTTTAATAAACAGGAAGAAATATTAAAATTACTGGATAGGGAGGCAAAAAATACCAAGAAAGTGAAGAACCACAGCCATGGCACAGTCAGGGTCCCCCTGTCCCTCTGTTGTCCCAACATCCTGGTGGCACCCGTGGCTCCACTGCTGTCCCCTCCCTTGTCCTGGCTTGGTGGCCACAGTGGCCATGGTGGCCTTGTAAGTCACAGTGGCCACAGATGCCATGGTGACTTTGGAGACCTCAGTGACCTTGGTGGCCTCATGGCTTGGGGGGTGCAATCGTCTTTGGTGACCATGGTGACCACAATGACCATGGTGGTCTTGGCCTCGTGGTTTAGAGGATCCCAGTGGCCACTGCCAGGGCCGCAGTGGCCAGGAGGAGCCCTCCAAGGTTGGGGAGGTCCTCAGGGATGCTCCTGCCTGGGGAGAAAAAGATGGGGGTCACAGGGGGCTGGGGGCGGCGGGGTAAGTGGGACAGGGAGACAGTGAGGGAGGACAGAGGTGACAGGGGAAAGGGGGAGCCCTGAGGGTGGGACAGGGGGCTATGGAGGGGGGGTTAGAGGTGACAGAGGGGTTTGGGGGGCCATGGGAGGGCACAGGGAGCCAAGGGGTGTCAGAGGGGTCCTAGAGTGACATAGGGGACAAGGGGGCCATGAGTGGGCAACAGTGGTGACAAGGGGAGTGACCACGGGAGGATCAGGGGTGACAGGGCCATGGGGGGCCATGGGGAGGGGACAGGGCTCAAGGGTGGCCATGGGGGTGCTAAAGGGGTGACAGGGGGGCCATGGGGAGGAGTGGCAGGGTGACAGAGGGGTCAGGGGGCCCAGCTCACCTGCATCAAACACACAGGGCCCATCCCCACAGCGCTGCTCTGCGGAGGGGAGGGACAGCGTCAGTATTGGGGGGTCCCTGTCTCTGTCCCGTCCCACATGTGGGGGTCCCCATCTTTGTCCCCGGCACGGGATGTCCCTGTCCCCGCTGTGCTCATGGTGGATGTCCCCAGCAGCAGGTGTCTGTCCCCTGTCCCCTGTCCCCAGTACTGGGGGTGACCTTGTCCCCATGCCCACAGTGGGTGCCCCCAGCACTGGGTGTCCCTGTCCTTGTCCCCGGCACCATGTATCCTTGTCTCCTCATTCTCACCAAGTGTCCCCAGCACTGGGTCCCCTCACCTTCTCTGACTGTCCCTGTCCCCAGCACTGTGTCCCTGTCCCTGTCCCTCACCTTCTCTGAGTGTCCCTGTCCCTCACCCTCACC